AAGAAAATAGACTTTAAGCAGTATGTCGCAAAAGAGGGGTATTCAAGATAACACACATTTAACACATGTTAAATAGCTTTGGCCATTCACAATGTGCATATATACATTGTGTATACTATGAATTACACAAATTTACCTGTTGGTTAAAAACAATAAAAAAGGAATAAAAAGGAGGAAAAGTTACTTGCATGTGGCACACTGTATAGGAACATATAAACACTACTTCAGTACGAGTTCGGCTCTTAGTTAGAAAGGTGTTTCATTGGGGAAAAAAAGTGCATTACTTTAAGCATTTGCTACCTTCCCACTTTCCTCCATCCTATACCCTCATACCCAGAAGGATAACCAGAATGAATTGGAATTTTAAATATAAGGTTATAATTCATATTTCTACCATGTACTACTTTGAAAATGGCACAAGGTCAGTAAAATAGCATTTATTTGGTAAATTTATTAATGCAGTATTTAATAGTATACCTGCTTAAGCAATATGGAGAGCAGAGACAGCTCAGTAAAATAGTTAAGAGTAAAGATTCCGGAACCAAATGCCAGGGTTTGTAATCATAATTCAGCCACTTACAAAAAGTGTAACCTTGGTTAACACATTTAGTCTTCTATGTCTCCGTCATTTTCATTAGCAAAATGAAGATGGTAGTAACAGTATCTACCTCCTAGGCTCATCATGCAAATAATATGACATTACATATGCACAGTGCTTAAAAAGAGACTGGCACATACTAAGAACTATGTAATTTTTTCTCATCTTAAAGTTGTTGTGCAGACCAGGAATGAAACCAAGTGCTCTGCACAGGACCCAACTCAGCAAAATGGGAGCCAGTAGTAGTATTTATATTTTAATGGCACAGGTTAATAAGAACAAGCTTTACCTATTGTATTAAGAAAATGGCTCCTGCAGGGGATTTAACTCAGAGACACACGCACCTGCCTGGCACAGTCGTGAGTTTGATCCCTGGTACCACAAAAAAAAAGAAAGAAAGAAAAAGAAAATGGCTTCTACTGATGAAATCAGATCCTTTAAAAAAAAAAAGTATCACTATAGTGTAAAGAAACTATAAAGCAATCTGAAAATAGTACCAAAAATTATATAATATTAATACTGCTTTACCCTACCACGCTCCTATTCTATCCTCGTGACAAATCAAAATTTGGAGAAAGATTTAAGCAAAATAATAAAGGTACTTGTATACATGTCACTTATGTTATTGAAAACTATAACCAATATGGAAGTCTAAAAATGAGGAACAGTAAGTCAATGTTTTAAAATAGTCAAGAGGTTCTGGATATGCTTTACCCTACCACGCTCCTATTCTATCCTCATGACAAATCAAAATTTGGAGAAAGATTTAAGCAAAATAATAAAGGTACTTGTATACATGTCACTTATGTTATTGAAAACTATAACCAATATGGAAGTTTAAAAATGAGGAACAGTAAGTCAATGTTTTAAAATAGTCAAGAGGTTCTGGACATGCTGCATATAACTAGATTTCTCAGCCCAGGTCTGCAGGCATTAATCACGTATTAAAGACTCTGAGAGGCTCAGATTTAATGCTGTTTCTTTGCTCACCACTTCCAGTACTTCCTGAGTAACAGAAACTGTGGCAGAGGTTTCTATCACACTACCAAGGAAAAGGATGGAAAAGAAAGAGTTAAGTAGGTGCTGCTTGATCTTCTTGATGAAAATATATGCAGTCTCTGACAAGAGTAGTGCTCAGTATTATGCAGTGTGCTTCCTTCAGTAATGTGAGGAAAACACTATGTTAGGAGAAAAAACATTAGACTCAGCCAATTAATTAATAGCCAATTATATGCTAGAAGCTCAGAGGGGAAATATCCCAACACACCCTGTGGAATTAATGTGCAAATGTTTCTGTAATGTGATGCTACGTCTACAGTGCAAACAAGTTTATACTAATAATAAAGCCATGGGGTGACTTGGTGACATCAAGTCCCACCTTCCACCTTGACTTAGGAGTGTAGTTTGTTTATCTGGTGGTTACTTTAATAAGGCCTGAGGGGAGACTCCTTACTGAAAGTGACCTGTAACAAGAAAGTAGAAAACAAACAGAGCGATCATTCAGCTTCACCAGAGGGATACATGGAAGCAGCCAGCCCTGTCAATTTGAAAGAGGCTAATGAAACATTATCTGCAGGTGAGCGGACTGTCTCACAGCATTACAAGTGTAAGCTACAAATGATTTCCTAACCACAGAGGTAACCACTATACAGATACTTTGAAAGACAAATGAGAAGGCTGCCACATGCAGGGTTAATCACAAATCTCCCACTACCTGGGTGCCTCTTCACCCCAAGGAGATGACCTGGGGAGTAAGCCACACCACACTTCTTGTACATTTCTATGTTTGAATTTCAGCAACCTGGTACTCATAGTCACTGATAAAATGTATGCACAAATAAGGCTCATACACGCTTTGAAACGTTGATTTTCATTGTATTAGAGAGCATGCCTACACATCAATTTCCAATTCTTACAATTGTTTGGTTAGGTTACTATAGTATCAGGAAATCACAGGCATTGTATGCTGTGAACTATGGAAGAAGAAAAAAAAAGACCATCAATAATGCACAGTTCACTTTTATCTATGAACTTTATTAATACATCAACTCCCCGGGTTTACTAGGACTGTGATTTTATTTGATGCAATAGATTCTGTTTAAAGATTTTCCTTTTCTTTTTTATGACCTAATGATGCATTTAATTTTTAATTAAATTTCATTTTAAAGTATAAAGAGAATGTATAAAAGCCAAAGCAAGTGTGCAGCATCTGTTCATTGCATCTGCACTCACTACCACAAAAATTAACCTTAATCTAAAGAGGCACAAATGGGTTTTTATGCCATCAGGAGACCCAAGTATTTAAAAATCAATGACTGTCCACCCCAGACAAAGAACAGCTGTTTCCTAATATTCCAGCTCACTTTGAGCCCATGCTCAACCCAATAACTAGCTTAAAACAGCCCACTCTCTCATCCTCACTGTAAAAACTGTCAGAGAAGGACACTATCTAAAAACCATGCACTGCATTAAGTGAAGATATGGCAGAGCTCCCCTGGCCCAAACAGATGGCCTTTTGAGAAATACCGTCTATCAGCATGACTCAGTAATTCAGTAAAATCATAATCAATCTTATTTTCTGTGCCTAGAAATCTGTCAAATGAGATCATTTACCCATTTATGATATAAAAAAAAAAAATAATTTTTTAAAAAAGGCCAGAGAAGGGATGAGGAGATTGAAGCATACTGGTCAAGGCATGAAATTTCAGCTAGACAGGAAGAGTAAGTTCAAGAGACTCGCTGTACATCATGGGGACCACGTTTAATAAAGATACACTGTGTATCTGAAAATTGCTGAAAGAATATTTGGAAGACTCTTACCACAAAGCGTAAGTATATAAGTACATGAAATAAAATTTACATTAAAAGGCTTGATTTAGCCATTTTGCAACTTACATATGTATGAAAATGTTATTCTGTATGGCATAAACATATACAATTTTACTCATCAAAAAATGCAAAAAAAAAAATGCAGGGCCTATTGACAATGGATCAAATCTCTTCTCTTTAAAGTAAGGATTCTTTCCCTGGAACCCATACAAATTTTCTAAAAACAGAAGGCTCCCAATTAATCAGGCAGCTGTACATTCTCTGAAATAGGTGTTGTTTTCTTGAAGGAGAGAGAAGCAGCATGCTTGCAAAAGAAAAAGAAAAAGAAAAAGAAAAAGGCTATGAAGAGGAGCCACTGTTTTTAAACAAAGCTCCATGGCACAGTATGATTTACTAACAATCTTTTCAGGGACACTTTAAGTTAACAATTCCATGCAGGAAAGAGAAAAGAGAAAAAACTTAGAAATCATAGATGACAAAACAGAGACCTGTGTTTTCTATTACGCTAAAATGTCATTTTGTTTGTTTTCCCCACTTGAAAGAAAAGCCCTAATTTAAATGATTTTAAAGATCCTATATGGTACTATCTTTATATACTATCTTTACATATGTTTTCCTGATTCACTCTCAGAACCAAATATTAAAACCCACACATCAGGATTAGGTATTGTTATTATTAGGTTTTTAATTATTAGGTAATTTTTTAAAAAAAGAAATTCTCAAAAAAAAAAAGAGGAGGCAATAACACATTTCTCTTCTGATATACCCTGCACCACATGACATCCAACAGGCTTAGACCTTTAAACACCACCTCAATAGATCTAACAAATAAGGTCTGCGTCTTAATATGTTAGGGTCACCTATGAGGCGATGTCCCCATCACAGGGGTTCTGGTAAGTACTGGACCATGTGACTTTAGCAGTGACAATTTTGGCTGGTCCTAGATTCAAATCTAGCATTTAAGGGAAGAGGAATCACAGGGTAGAGACCTAATAGGAAGCACTGTCCACTGACTGCACTGAAGTACATCCCTCTGTGGACTGCTTCCTGTTTTATCGTTTGAGCCCAAGGACGGCTGGCTCTGGTATCCTGCCATCCACAGCATATCCTGGGGTGCTGTCTGGCTGCAACCATCTGGGCCCCTGAAGGGCCCACAGTTCCAGCATGAATGGTGATTGTCTCCAGGAGCGCCTTCACTGTGTCTCAAGCATCAGGGCTTATTAAAATCCCGAAGGGAAGTAATCCCTGAATGCCACTGAAAGATCTCCAGCTGCTACCGTTTATGAAGTAGGCTTGACAAGAGAAGGGCAGTGCAAGGAGGTGGGGGCGGGAGGACAGGAGAGCATTTAGACAGGGGCAAGTTATCCAAACAGAGCCCCCCTCAAGAAAGAGTCATGTTTTATCAGCTTAAGCTTTCCTGCCTCATTTCCAAAGGTGTTTCCCCCCTCAGCTCTCATTAATTCTTTTTTATGGCTGTCCATTTTCTTTAAGAAATAATAATGATAAAGGCAGTGCATGACTAGGAAAAGTCCATAACTGTGTGAAAATTAGAAAGACTGGCCAGATGAATTACCTGGAAACAACTGAATGTGGCTTCCTTGAAACATCAGGGAAGAAAATGTTTTTTTTTTCTTTTTTCCATGGAAAAGAATTAGACTAGTGCTCAGTATCTCTCTCCCTTCTCCATTCTTTTGAAAAGGTCTTTTCATCTCATTAAGTTAAGCTGATGAATAAAAATTCAGCAGTTTGCCCATGGATCCTTTAGAAGTGGTGATACAAGCTGAAAGCTGCAGGCGGAAGGTTTTTGTGCTGGAGACAATATGGGGGAAGACTTCTTAAATCCGTCGTTGTCATCCTCCATTAGCGATAAATAGTCACCTTGGTTCAGATTCCTCAGACAAACGCTACACTGCTACTTGTTATCGTCTAGTAACCTTCAGGGGGAAAAAGTGCTTACTTAAAAACAAGAAAGGGAGAAAAAGAAACATTATTTTGGAAAACTACATTATGAGAACATTTTGCTTCATCTCAAATATTGTTTACTGTAGTTTGTGAACAAAACCTGATCCAAAGGCACAGAAGTCTCCTTCAGGAGAATAAGTAATTTTATCCAAAGAAATCTCTATTGAGGACCTTATAATTTTTACTGTAAAGCAAAACAAGTCGCTAAACATAATATCTTTGATGAATAACTTTATTTTGTCATTCAGAAATATCTTTTAGGGCCAGGGATTTAGCTCAGTGGTGTAAGTGCCTGCATGGAAAGCACAAGGTTGTGAGTTCGATTCCCGTACCAAAACAAAAATATCTTTTTGTATCTAGTTAGTACCTGACATAGCTGCGCATACAAGAGTTAACAATTTCCTTCAAAAATTGTAAATGACTGTGGTTTACTATAAAAATGAAAAAATATATAGTTGTGCAGTTATGATTTGCGAATGTTTGCAGCTGTTCACACAAGAGATAATGTATCCAAGCACAAGTTACGAAATGCCTATTACATGAAAAGCTTTGAACAAGGGGACACAAATTTAAGTGCACCTGTCCTGAAGGTATTATTTTACTAGCCACATCTAAATTTGCATAACACTAAACAACTCACTTGAATATTATCCAGTGTTTTTCCCAGATGAATTCAAGTTGTACCACTTCAGAATCTTTTGTTAAAAAGTCCCCCTAGTGCTGGGGATGCAGCTAAGCTGTACAGTGCTCCCCTAGCATGCATGAAGTCCTGGATTCAATCTCCAGTACCAGAAGCAAAAAACAGTCCCTCCAAGTGGCATTCACTATTCATATGTAAATAAACACAAATTTATTTCTGTAAAATCTTTATGTATGTGTAACCGTGTTTTAGTACCACTTTCACCAATTTGTCTATATTATATTGAGTCAAATTTTACAGGCAGTCTGATTCTATCATTAAATTTATCCTAAGATACCAGGTCAAATAAATATCTTTGTTTGAATCTTATTTCTGAGTATTGCGGGGAGTTTTTTTTTTTTTTTTAATTATCTTTATCTTATGGACACTGAATACATTTAAAGTCATCAACAGAATTACACCCATGTGTCCAAAAATGTTAGGCATTTTACAAGATGCAATTCTTGAATTGAACACCACTAAAACAATAACCACCATAAAAGAATCATTCTAAACTATCACTAGTTATTTAGCTATAATTTTCCCCCAGATTAACATGGAGGATTCAGTAACATTAAAAATGTCAAACATTTGAATATACATTCCCTGTGCCTGAAGCCCATCACCTGTTTTGCCATCTATCTTTTCAAATATTTAAGGGGCCCAAACAATGCTACTAAGAAGAATAACCATAGATTAGCTGTGGCTTCCAATTAGCAAATTAAAACTGGTCTAACTAAAGTGTAGCTCTTTTTCTCATGACACGGATTCTAACAAGTAGAATCTAACCTGACACTGCATGTTTAGGATCTAGGAGTTAAGGTGTAGGTCAAAGAACACAAAGTTATAATTATGCAGGGTGAGTAAATATAAATGTCTGAGGAACAGCATGATAACTAGAGATAAAATACTGAAAAACTTGTTAAGAAACTGGGTGTTAATTCGCTTGACTATTGTAATTTTTTCACTATGTATATGTATTTCAAAATACGTTGCACACCTTAAATACATACAATAAAAACAAATTTAAAATAGTTTTTAGAATATACTAAATGCGTAAAGGCATTCTCACTCACATATTTTTAAAATTCTGCAAAGGACCAACCACTATGCTAAGTACCATAAACACAAAGATTGGCAACCCACGACCCTGGCACCAAATAGATTACAAGCGTCTAGTGTTGATATCTTCCGTGAGGTGAGACAATTAAGACTGAAGGATAGTAAAGGGTAATGGAGGAGGGCACTGATTAAACATGTTTCTGCCAGTTCTTCCTTTTATTAATGTAATTGAGTTTGTGGGTCTCTCTGTAAACACACAGATAGGAGGGATCACACACATTCACCCATATTGTACGTCTCATATTGAAAGAGGAAGTTGTTGAAAGGATGTTATACTGCTTCCAAAATATATTACGTGCATGGGGTAGGGGTAGAAGCCAGATACCAACACCTATTGTCAGTGGGAACTGTCACTTGAAAATGGTTCTTAAAATAGCATTCCTTGATTCCAAAAGAATGCTAAAAAAAATCTTAATGAAAAGCTTCAACACGTAAGATTTAGACATTTGGGATCAGCTCCTCCAAGTTCTACATTGTACATGTGTATTTAAAAATAACTTATTTTGTAACATAAATAATATTAACATTGGGCCAGGGATTTAGCTCAGTGGCATAAGCGCCTGCTTGCAAGCACAGGGTCATGAGTTCAATCCTCAGTGCCACCAAAACATAACAACAACAATAATAATAACAATAACATATTTCTATTTTATTCCATTCTGGAAACAGGAACTAGATGCTTAAACTTTCAATGTAAATATATAGTTAATATATGCGCTTTTGTCAACAACTCATAACTGTATCATGCATAGGAATGTCTTCCACAGTGCAATAGTAACTCAATAATTATAAAAGAGAAAGTTTAAAACCATAGTTTCATACTTAGCAATGTTATCTTAAGATTGTCTTTGAGTGAAAATAGCTGTATTTTAACTAAAAATAAATAACCAGTTTTTAAAAGACCCTACTTTAATACTCATTCTGACACGAAACATTCAAAAATTAGGGAATAATGAACTAATGAGAAAAAGAACCAGATTACATAGAAGTAAAACCTGGATTCTTAAATTTAGTCAGACACCTATTATTAAGGAACAAAGAAATAAAGAACATTAAGTTCATGTTCAACAAATTACTAACGGCAGAAACATACTGGGAAACACACATTCCACTGCTGATAGTGGCTGCTCCTCACAAATCCATTTACTTGGGTAAGAACGAGACCTAACCTCTAAGAAAACACATCTTTGTGCTTTGTGACTGTGATTAATCCACCAAAACCCCACTGTCACAGGAAATGAGGTGAATCCAGTCCACTGTACCCATGGAACCAATTAGGAATAATGTGACTAAAAACTGCTAAGAAAATAGACCCAAAAGTGGGCCAGGCATCTCCAAATAAATGAATTCAGTAAGCAGGACTGCCCAATGCAAGGAATACATTGAAGAGGTGGATTAGATTAATAATTATTCATAATACATAATTATATATTTACTGTTATTTATTCAACCATTCTCTTGATACAGATGTGTTTAATAATTTACTTTAAAATTTAATTGAATTTTCCTGAATTCTTTCTTGCAGAGAAAACTGACATCTTGAACTTACCGAGGTTTTCACAGATATTTAAAACAAGTTTTGAAATGTCCATCCCAGGTGATAACTTATCATATTACTTATACATTTTTAATAATTATATTTGAAAAAGAAATGTGTATAATTCAAAAAACCATATTAAAATTAGGATAAAGAATGACCGTGGAATCATATTTACATAACTATAAGATTTATATTGTGTACTTACATGCTGAATTCCAATACTTTTACATTTGCCCAATATTTTAGAGATCTTCCTTATTCTGCTTCTTATCTCCTCCCAAGGAAAAGGAAGAATAAATGAAAACTAAGCAGTTTAGTAAATCAACTTATGGCTGGGAGTAAAATATTTTAATTCAAAATTCTGGCTTTTCTTCTTTCGAAGTACTTAATTTTTAAAAATACTATTCTTCATTTTTGGAACCATTTTAAATTATGAATTTAATCAGACAGAATTCAATCAAAATTTCACTGTAACAAATTTCAGAACTCCACTCAACTTTGATAAAAGTGGCTAGATACTTAGAATAGATGAATGCATATCATATTTTATTTTTCTTACTGATTAAATGTAAATTTAAGGCTATAAATCCTTAAAGTCATGTTTGAAAGTAAAACAAAAAATTACTTTCGAAAAAATCTTGAGTCATATTTGAAACTAAAAAATAAAATAAAGCCTGTGTGTTCTCCAAGTGCTCTGCACTAATAAAATCAAACTGGGAGCCACAGAAGTAAATTATGCTTTAACCAAGAAAGTTAAAAAGGTTGATAGGATCATGATGTCATAAAAGGTTGATAGGGTCGTGATGTAGTAACTGACCTTGTAGAGGACAACAATCCCCTCATTTCACAGATGAGGAAACTCATCTTGACCAAGGGTTAAGTGACTTGCCCAAGGTCAAACAGTTAATAGTGTCAAAGCCTTGACACATTCCAGATCTTCTGAGTCAGAAGCTCTCGCGTAAAAGATCAACTAATTCAATCACCTTGTAAAGATGAAAAAGACAGTCCCAGGGCATTTGATGATTTGGTTAAGGTTGAACAACTAGAAGAAATGAAAAAGTGACCACCCCATCACCTGACTCTGGGTCTTGATAATTTGTGAAAAGATGTTACTTCATCTTTCAAACTGACAAAACCAAAAAGGAAAATTTTCACACAATTGGCACATGAGATCAATTAAGTTATCCAAACACTGGCAATGGCAGCCAAGGAAACAAAATCAATACACAAACGATTAATTCTCCAAATTAATGAATCAGGATAATAATGACACCTAGATCTCACTGAAGGCACATTACACACCAGGCATTTTACATGCATTTACTTTCTCATTGAATCACAATTCAGCAAATAACACATGCTATTTCCTATAAATGAAAACTGAAGATTGGAGGAAAGAATTAGCATTTGAACCCCGGTCATCCAATTCTAAAGTCAGACTGTCCTCTCATTTTGACATATCTTTGTATCATTGTAAGATTTTGTTGTACATTTGGAAAAAAAAATACAAAAATTCACTTGAGTATTAATAATGTTAATTGTCCACATGCTACATACAAGGTCTTATGTTAAGCTTTATGTATACCAATTTAGCCATTGAGAACTCTTTTGGATAAGCATGTATTTCTACTTACAGAAGAGGAAGCTGAAACATAAAAAGGTTGATTAACTTCAAAAACTATCCTGGAGCCCTGCTCAATGCGTAACCATCACAGACCAGTCTTTGAGGGCCGTGTCTCACACCCCTGACCTCAAGAATCTTACAGTCTACTATTGGGAAGGGGACACCTACAAGGATGCCGACACCTTACACAAAGCATTCATACATATCAATATTTTTCATACAAACAGCTAAATTTGACGAAGAATAACAACTTCCACTGCAAAGGTACAAAGGGAGGTGCAGGAGAGATGAACTGCCTAATTTGTTCTATGCACATGATTTACCTAACAGACCTGGGTTGTCAAGCATACATAAGCTAATCTCTATCACCTAAAAAAATGATTATCTATTGCTAAATATCTGTATCTTAAAATTTTAAGTAAATCTATGCATGCTAACCAAAACTGAGTTAAAGTATAGGAATTTAGATTAAAAACAGGAGAAAACGTCCTATCAGATTGTTAAGTTCTCAAACTTTTATTCAAGGAGTACCCAGAATCTCTTCCAAATATCTTCCAAAAGAGCTCTCTACCTTAGCAGCTCTCGGGAAGCTGCTCACGCAAATGCAGGGGAAGAGGCTGGCTGGGTGCAGACATCTCTGCCATCCCATCATAGGTACATATTACAGCCTCACAATTAGCTCCAAAGGGGTCCGTGAAACACTTAACTGCTGGGTGTCCTAATTATTTGCTTGGATGTAATAGTTGTGCTTGCTAACTCTGCATTAGCAAGGAAGAATAAAAATGTGCAGGTTTAAAATTCCTTTCATTTTAGCATATAGTTCCTATCATTCTTCACTGTGTCTCCTCAGAAATTGTCCCAAGGTCACACTTCAATATTTCACTGAGTTCTGTTAGACTAAGTATGTCACTCTACAGAGCCCAGATGAGCGGTTAAGGGCCACTTACTGGCTAAGTGGTCTTCGGCTAGTTTAAAATATGCAAAACTCAAGTTTTCTCATCTGTAAAACAAGAATCATTATAACACCACTTTCATAAGAGCTCTTGTCAGGATTAAATAAATGATAATGATTGCAAATTCTCTAAAGCATCCTGTATGGTATACAGTATGTGCTCAATAAACAGGAGCTACCCACATTAATTCCCAAAGAGGAACACAAGCACTTCTGTGCATATACAATAGAATATGAATCCTCTTTAAACATTGCTCGTGCCAGCCCCAGAGGAAAGGCCAAGCCCTTCACTCTAATGTGGGCCAGTTTTTAAGCTATAACTCAAGCTATGCTACAAAAGCTCCTCATGGTCCCATCAGAACCTGCCCAACAGAGGTGGGCAGTGCCCATACCCCATCTCTGAAATATAACCTGGGGTTTGGTTTGTTTTCTGTTTTACACATTAAGTTTCTGCTGGTTTTTCTTTGTTTTGTGAACAGTATTTTACTTGCAAACAACTGCTTAATCCTGAAGTCAGAGAAGCAATGCAGATAAAACAGAGCATCCTAGGTTTCAACTGGAAATATTAAAATTGTGCTGAGTTTTTAATCATCCCACCATCTGACCACTTACAAAACATTCCATTTGAAGGTCTTCAACATTTACCAGTGTCCAGCTGTACTTTACAAAAACAGTTACACTGTACTTTACAAAACAGTTAACTTTACAAGATAAATGTTTAGGACCCCATTAGTCCATCTATTATAAAGAATTATATATTGGAAGAATCCTCCCTCTCAATATTACCAATGTATCCTGCATTTTTACAGGCAGAACATAACTGTGTGACTTCCTTTCAATTTTTCAGTGAACTAAAACTTGCTCTTAAAAAATGCAGTTTTTAAAAAGCAAAAGCACAGCCTTACACTGACACTTTCTGATAAGGCCAGCCCACTTTTCTGACCCATACTTCAGATATTTTCACTAGATCTCTTTCACTCTGAATAAATTACTTTCTGCATATTCTCCTAAATCTGTAAGGTTATAGCCACAGACCTTTGTTCTTGTTGCTTCAGATTCCTGGAATATTCTCCTATTACTTCCGTCTCTATTAAATCATGTCCATTATTCAAGTCCTAGACTAAATTATTTCTCTCCCAGGAAGTACTTCCTGATACCCTTGAACAGATGTGCTTTCTCCCTCTGTCCATAGCATTCTGTGCTCTATTGCGACATTATTTGTTCTAATACGTTAGTGAGGCAGAACAGTTTAGTGATTGCCTTGGCAGTGAATGAATATCTAATTGCCCTGGTATTTGCCTGCATGTGGTCTTTAGCACTGATACATTCACATCAAACATCACGGAAGACTACGCATTTAAAGTGACACATCAGTGGAAATGAAAAATCCAAATACACTAGGTTTTACTATGTATTTATTAAAAAATCACTTTGCAGTCAAGACACATGAGAATTTCTTTTTAAGGACGTTTACTTTTCCAGTTAGCAAATGTACTGGGATGGTTTTCACTAAAACATAAGTCAGCCAGCTGTTTGTTTGGGTTCCTGAATTAAATGGTAAAAATACAGACAGCTTTTACTCACAGCGTACCACTTTAAACAAGAGAATCTGTTCCATATTTAAGTGACTTAATTTTCTCTTTCCTTTAGAAAAAGTTTAAATTTTTCATACAATAAGGACATCCCTTCAGAACTTGGGAACTTTCATTTCAGATGGCAGACGGCTCTCCCTCACCCATCCGACACCCCAGGGATGCCAAAGCACTTAAGAGACCCAGGAGAGTGTATAATCTGACATGACAGCTGGAGGAGGGCAGGGCAAAGCAGCATCGCACAGGTACCAGGGAGGAAGCACTGTACTCTGGAACCCAGGCTGCTCCTTTATTTCCCTTGAGATCGCCAGAATGCTGTGTTTCCTTCCTGTCCCCTTGGGAGGACAGCCTCACAGCTATGAAAGTTTCACTCAGAGAAAGGCAAGACCCACCTGACAACCAGCTTCATGTCCCGTAAACTTCTCTGAAACAGACAAGCCAGCCAGTCATTCTGCACTTCAGCCTCCTAAATTCTCAGTAACCCAGCATAAGCTCCTGCTGGCTTTGTAGTGGGCTTCCCCCTCCTCTGTATGGAGCATTTACGAGTTCAGCTGTGGGCCCTGTTAATTTCCCTCCACAGCCTTTCTTCCCCCCCTAACACATGCATACTCCATCCTGCGCTGGAGTGCTGACTAAGGAGGAACAATAGGAGGCTTTGAGCAGAGCTCAGCCCTAGACCCAGTCAATATTGACTTCAGTGTGAAGCCACTGTTTTAAAGCTCCTTCCAAGCAGAACTCAACAGTGGGGAGTCCCAAGAGGTTTCTAGATTTTATTTTAACAGGAAAGAGAGGTGTTGAGATAGAGTAAATAGATTACTGCCCAAGCCACTTTCTCAGAGAAAATAAGGGAGGTTGTTCAACAAAACAGGTTAGACTTTCAATACTAATTAGCAATTTATAACAAGAAAAACCAATTGTCTTCCAACATTGATGACTGCAGTCTTAAAACTCCCTATCAGCTGCAGTGCAAATCCACTTAATGTGACCCCTGTATATCTTGTGAACAGGGCCCTGATCCTATCAGAGCCCAGCTCCCCAGTGTTTGCCTGCTCTACCTAGAATGGCACTCAAGGATGCTGCATGAAGTTAACCAATGCTCTATGGCTGAGCTCCAGGCCAGATCTTACATATGATGTCAATCTGAGTGTGTCCAAAAATGGAAGTTGTAAGTACCAACTCGCGTGAATTTTAGAGCACGGAATGATAAATGCTAGAAAGTGTGCCAACTGTCTTGGAAATAGATTGGGAAGGCCGATGTATGGTGCTGAAGCAAGTTCCTGGGAAAATGTCATAAACACTCCCTTCTCGGCAGTGGAAGTGGCTTGCTAGGAGACAGGTATTGGGAGCGGGGATAGAGAGCTGCTTCCAAAACTGTATTAGAATCACTGGAGTTTTCCTGTTACTGTGCATGTTGTGGCGATAAGGCAGACATGCTCTGATTATTAAAAAGTAAAATGACTTACCCATAATATTTGTCCACTTGATTTAAACATTTTTTTCTTTTTAAAAAGTTCAATTATTATAAAACTAAACCAAAGTGACAGTTGAGAAACCTTACTAAAATAATTAAGATTATTTACAAGATTACTAAACAAGATTACTAAAGATTTCTATTACATACTTCAGGAAAGAAATTCATAGCTGTCTGCAGTTACCAATTGGAAAGGTCCTTATTCCATCAAATCAATAAATAGACTTTGCTATTCTTAAGTAATAAATATAGATTGCATTCACATTTTATAATATTTCCATAAGGACAGAACCAAATAATTTAAAACATTTAATGAGAAATTGAAGAGGATTTGCAATTATACAAAATTTTAAATTCTAGCATAGGACAATTTTACTATTTAAGGGTAATAATCTTATTTTCTGTACCCTGCTGTTTTCTAAAAATGTAGAGAGAAAGTGATACAATTTAATATTCATGAAGAAGCACAGAATGAATTAAACTATTCCTATCTCAAAAAAGTATGAAGTAAAAGGTAGCACAGAATTGGCCAGTTCTGTTAGGTTTGTGTACATTCTTCATATTCAGTACAATATGTTCAGCTCTAATTTTTACATTTTTTTTCCATATTAATAAAAGCTAAATCATTAAAAATGCAACTCAATCCAATCATTTCAAAATCTTCAGGAATTATGGATTGCTGTACACTCAGTTTGATCAATCAACATACTCTCTGGCAAAGAAAGTACGCAGTATACCTAGATAAAATGAGTCTCTGCCTGGATTTTAAATTGATGCATAGGAGTTTAAGGAATTCATTATTTAATAATACAAAGTATCAATAAGTATGTCATCAAAATTTAAACTTCTTGACTACCTTATGCCAAGAAAGAAAACAGGGAACAGGAGAGAACTTGTAACTATTAATCATTCATGAGACACAGAAGCAAAGTAACATTAAATTACAAAGTTTTAAACTTGAAACAAACTATAGCAAGCTCATTCCTTTGACAAATCTTAACTTCCAATATAGCAAGACAAAAGAAGCCTGCTTTTCTATGAAATGATATGAAAGCAGTGAAGACAAGCCCTGTGCTCCCACGAGGATAGCAATTCTAAGTATTAAAACACTGAACTTGTAAGGGAAGTCTGCTACGCAGAGGTAGCAGTGCTCTTTGAAATAATTTTGGTCTTACTAATATTACTCCCAATATTTCTATTGCTGACCTCAGATATCCCTAAATTTCTGGGCATGGCACATAAAGATCATTGATAATTTCCCTTATGAAATCTTTTTTTTTTTTTATTTTAACCTAAGGGAGTTTATAGAAGTAAAACAATGTTATTAATAATTATATAAGTATGTGATTGCAATTTTAAAACAATAACAAGCACATTTGCTATGTACCTAAATAACTACAAACATACAAAATAAAACCTGGTTTGAATAACCATCAGACAATTCTACAAGAAAATGGCTCTTTGACAGTAATGTGATACTCAGGTTTCATCACATTAAAATACGTGTTCCCTGACAAATTTTGTTTCCTTTCTCAGCTAGACATTATGATCCATTTCTCCTCCTAACATCAACATGTGTATAATTAATATGTTTATAAGTTTGAAAGTCAAATACAAGAGTTCTTGAGCGCAGGGCATCCTATTTCTCCAGCAGTAAGTTTCATAAAAATCCAAAGATCGCAGGAACAGTCTGGCTGCCTGTAAAGAATAGGAATTGATTTGTTTCAACAAGTTCTGCATAGAAAATACAAGCATTTTTTCCAAGAAGGTGTCATATTCATTAATTTCTCCTTTGAGGTAGAAATATTTCATTATACTTAACAAACTCAAAATAGAGTTAATGGTAACGATAAGACAAATTGAGAGGAAGAAAAGAACATTAAAAAAACTAACCAATTTTACAAATTTTAAGGAGATTCAAAACTCACTTCTGGGAAAAGGTCTAACAGGCTTGTCTCTAAAGTATCACTCCTCACATGTTGTTACGCTTAAAAATAAAAACTGAAACGTGAATTTCTTTAAAAGAAAATCCAGTGTACATGCTCAAATCTTTTCTTTCACAGACAACATATAATACAACTTGTCTATCTTTTAAAAAGTCAGATTTCCATGATGCTTTTAAAGTAAGTTTGTATCTGTAAGGACTTATTTTTATGCAACTTATATGAATACATGGAATTATAAAGTGAGATCCATTTACATGAAGTAACTCCCCTTCCTGATACTGAGGTATAACTATTCTTTTTATAACAGTTTTATAGCAGTTTTAAAGTCCTTTCCTTTAAATTTTCATGAGACATTTTTATTATTCCCATTTATTTATTAGAATGGAGCAACTGAGGCTCAGATTCACCACTAATGCTGGTATATTTATTCAACTCAAACCAAAATGTAATTAAAATAAAACCTAAAAAATCTGATAGAGTTGATGAATCTAATCTGATATACTTGTAACATCTCATTCTGAGTCCTTGTATATTCAAGATTCAAAAGATATTTGAAGCTTTTTTCTAAACAGTTCTCCTTTAAAAAGTCTCAGAACAGAAAATGTACATGGATTTACCATATTTATTTCATGTAGTCAAAATGACCTGTAATTGTACAAATATCTGTGTACCTAAAAATTGAATTACAACCTATTAACCTGATAAATCACTGTTAATAACCTGATCTAATTTAAGAAAGCACTTAAGACACTTATTTTCCCTTATTCAAAAAATGGAAGGGCAAAACACTAATTAGAACTTTTGAACTTCTATTCTAAACATACTAATCACCATAAATCTTAATCAGCCATAACTTGAACAAAACCATTCTGAAGTGATATGCAAATAAGTTCATTTTAACCAATAAAGATATCCTATTCCTAAATTTAAGTCATGTAAATACATAGCACACTATTTCTCTTTTAAAAGCTACTTAAACTCAACCACAAACATAGACTTTTTAAATTTCCTGATCTATAAGAATCATAGAACTCCTAAGAAGGTATCCACTCAAGGTCACTCTCCAAAAACATTTATTTATACTATGAGGAACATAAATATAAATCCAAAAACAAAAACTATGTCTTGAATTACTATTGTTAATATTCACTGTTCTTACTTAATGCTACATAATATTTCAATTAAATTCACTATATCAAGAATTTAACAAAGAAATAATTTGCTTCTTTTTATAACTAAGAAATTTATTGAGTTATAAAAGGATAAACTTTTTGTTTTCATAAAAATACAACTGGTATACAGTAGAAAGTTTCATTATTCTTTTCAAAAATCATTCCACTGTCTACTTATTGATGCTTAGAAAGATTTTCAAGTTCATTTAATTAGTAATATTCCATTCATATGCATGGAATGAAGGAGAGCAAGCACAAAGAAAAAACAGGCCAAGTAATCTGAATTCACCTGGTTTCTTTCCTTCTTTGTTCATAAAATTATCACATATTTGCACTGCAAAAGAAAATGATATATATGCTGTGGGAAAAATTGTGGAAGCATATACACAAATGCTTTAGGAACAAAGACTTTTAAAAAGAATCACAGAATGTTACAGCAGGAAGGCATTTTTCTCCACGTGTTTTGCAACTCCATTGGAAGTATGGGATCCTGAAAACCACACACAAGAGACTCATCCAATGGAAGCAGAAAAACCGTTAGTCATCTTCTATGCTGAATGTAAAATAAACATTTTGGGTTCATTTAACCATATGGATTTAAACTGGGAAGTGTTAAAAATCTGTTTCTGAGGTGTAATTCTGGCACTGGCACACAAAATACATCTGGAGAGTGTTGCAGATAAATATCCTTAAACATTCATGATGGGATTGTCTTTAAAATTTCTGGACCAGGACAATATTTTCACTGTAGAGTTTGTCTGTAGAGAGCAAGAATCACAACAAAATCCAGGGACTTAACCTTTACTAGTGGAGTATTTATAATGAAGCCTAAATCTCAACGTAAAAATCTATTTTACTGTATTTGTCTGAGATTAGGAAGACAGCGGCTAGAAGTAAAGACTATTAGACCATTAGGTTTTTTTAACTCACAAGTAACTCTCATTCACATAAATACTGAGCCATTTCAGAAACCATAGAATTACACAGAAAGTTCAGAGCCAATAAAAGGAAGAGCCCTTGATGAGAAGCCAGAAGCAATCTCTTCCCTCAGGAACACTGCCATCACTGAGATTCAGGGTCCACAGGCTCAGTAACACCTGGGAGCAGGTCCCTACCCCAGATCTACTGAATTAACACCTGCATTTCAACAACATTCCAGGAGGGCTTGACCCACCTTTGAGGAAAGGAACAATGATCTATAAATCACTAAGTAAATGGTTCCTGATAGCAGGGATGTGGTTTATGCTGTTTACTGCAACATCCCTAGCACAGAGAATGATACTTGAGCAGTACCACAGGGGAGTCCTGGTAAATATTTGTTGAATAAATTGGTATGTAAAGGTTTTATATGGCACTTTCTACTTCACACTGTGATTATATCTGTAAAATTACTGTATCTGCAAAGGACTTAAATTCTCTACAGGCATAGATATTATCATACTCATCTCTGACATCTCTGTATGTTTCCTAGCATTTTCCATATAGTACTACTCAACAAGTATTTTATAATTTAGGTATTCAGCATATGAACATATATGACTGCTAATAGTTATACTAGTCTAATGTGAAAACTTTGGCCAAATTTGAATCAACAAATATTTCCTAAAATAACCCATGTGATTTTGGTTTTAGACATATTGAGGAAAATTAACCCAACCAATGAAAATAATAAATATAAAACAATATGCAGGGGCAGCTCCTGATTAGACGTGGTATCAAGGAACTAGAGTGGTGTGAATGACTGGAATTTAAAATTGATTCTAAATCCCATGCTATTCAATAACGTCAAAATCTTTTAACAATCATACACCAAAACTGCAGTAAGTTTGAGAAATGTCATCCTGTTACTTTTATTATTTCTCATGAAATGACCAAACCACCAAAAAAGAAAATACAGTGATAGAAAACTACACAGTAAAAGAACAAAATGATTAGTCCTCACATAACCAATGTCAACACAACAAAACAGGTTGTTATAAATAATCAGAAAATCAACAGCACTGCTATGTCAATAACAAGACCATCCCAAAATAATACTCGAAATGAGAGATTCATAAATATGGCAGGTTCTGAAAGTATATACTATAAAGAAGAAATACTAAATTAGGGAATGTTTCTCCAGCAAAACTACATTTTTCTTAATTAATTGTTAGGCCCTAGGCTTCTTTTTGGTCTTCAGAAAGCCCTGAGTTTAAAGTTAAACCAGTAGTATATCTAACCCAATGAGCACATATTCATATGGAGTATCCCATACACACACACACACACACACACACACACACACAGCCATGGTTTTGTCTCCCAAGGGTATAGCTGGCAATGGGACAGCAGAGTGTGTAATTAGTTTTCATTGTTCCCCTGACAGTTATAGTTCCATATACGACTTTTTTTCTTTTTATGTTGTAAATGCCTTGGAAAAATACACTAATAACAGGCATTTAATTACGAGTCCAGCAACCATAAATGGAACATTACCAGAAAAGATCAGAATCTCTCTGTCCCTCTACCCTTTTCTCTCAACTAAATTGTGTGTGTGTGTGTGTGTGTGTGTGTGTGTGTGTATAGGCAAGGATTTTTACCTCTACTAATCTTCAAAATATTTATGACAGGCAAACAACAGAAAAAAAAATTAATTTTCAATTTTCCCCAAGTCTCTTCTGACAGTACATACACACAATGCAACAGTAATAGTAAATCCAAAAATTTCCTGTCTGCGCTGAAATTTTAATAAAAATGAAAGCACTGCTTATTAATAAAAAAAACTCTTTAAAATAGCATTCTATTTTGATACCCTGGGTAAAGGATATAGAGATTTGGTTTTAAATTTGGATTTTGGCCTTGCTTTTCACAGACCTAAAACAAATTAGTACTCCACTAGCAAATATCTGGGTGCTGTGTTTCCCGAGGCCTAAAAAGAATTACCACTTGTAATATCAAATGTCTGGGTGCTACATTTCCTAAGGCTTACTTTAATTTGTTTTATACAGTATTTAAAATAAAGCATCCCCAAGCTGCTGCCATGGCGGACGCGAGATCTGTCACTGAGGTTTCTCGCCTGATTAATTAGTAATTGGGAGACACATTTTGGCAGCTTTTATTTCCCTATTATTTTCTCTAGTTTGACACAAAACCCTGTTAGAAGCACCACTATTTGAACTGTACCCCTCTTAGTGCTGGGTCACTAAATTTTAATAAATGGAGCCCTTGCCAGAAAACTACAGAAATAGGCATAAAAGTTTATTGAAGCAGTAACAGTAAACAAATATATGATGAAAACACTGAATGCCACAGTACCTAAAACATTAATGGTTGGTCTGAACTCAAAGGTTATTGGCAAGATTGCAGAGCAGAGACTAAAAGAAAAGGCTTTTAACAAAACCTATGCTTTCATCTATCTTTTTAAAAAAAAGTATTAGCTAAATAAAGCACACAAATACTTTGCTATAGCAAAGCTGTATGTCTGAGTTTCCTCCATCATTCCAACCCACTGAATAAAATTATTGGGAGGCAAAGATTTATAGAGACAATGCAGATAGAGAAAGCGTCCAGAAATCACTAAAGCTCTGTCTCAGTCAAAAAA